TTTTTTCATTGTTCATCTCAAATTCAAATTTAACTGGGTGGGGCCACCTGGTGGCTCAGTTTGAGCATCCAACTTTGGCTCAGGTCATGATCTCACGGTTCTTAAGTTCGAGCCCCATGTCAGGCTTTCTGCTGTCAGTGCAGAGCCTGCTTTGGATCCTGTGTCCCCCCCCCCACCCTCTCTGCCCTTCCCCCACTCACAGTCTGTCTCAAAAATATACATTTAAAAGTTTAGGAGCGCCTGGGTGGCTCAGTCGGCTAAGCATCCGACTTCAGCTCAGCTCACGATCTCAACGTTTGTGAGTTCGAGCCCCACATCGGGCTCTGTGCTATCAGAGGAGAGCCTGCTTCAGACCCTCTGTCTCCCTCTCTCTCTCTGTCCCTTCCATGCTCGTCCTCTCCCTCTCTCTCAAAAATAAACATTAAAGAAAAAGATAAAAAAAATGTAACTGGGTGTCTTTTGCTGGATGTGGCAACCCTAACCCGAGACGCTTCGGGTGCTGCAGGCAGGACCGGAGAGGAGGTTCGAGAAGTCTGGGAACGACAGCTTAGTTTCAGGGAGGCTCTGGGGAGGAGAGGTCAGGCGGGAGGGGTCCTGGAGGTTGGGTAAGGGCACCTGAGGGGAGCCTTTCCCTCCAGGCTTCAGGGACTCCACGAGAAGATAGCACCAGAACTGTGTCACAGGCTTGCCACCTGTAGGGCCACACAGAAGGGCCTCTGCCTGGCAGGCAGCTCTGACGGGCGCATCCTGAAATTGTTAACACTTTTTTTTTTTTTTTTTTTTTTTAGACAGAGAGTGAGCAGAGGTGAGGGGCAGAGGGAGAGAGAGAGAGGGAGAATCCCAAGCAGTCTCCATGCTTAGCACAGAGCCCAACGCAGGGCTCGATCCCACACCACCCTGGGATCTTGACCCGAGCCAAAATCAAGTCAGACCCTCGACCGAGTGAGCCACCAGGCGCCCCTTAGAAGTTTTCATCGAGGGGCCCTGCCTTTTCTTGTATGCTGGGCACCCAAGGGATGCAGCGTTTGGAAGAGACTCCATTTCCCGGGGGCCCCTCTCTTCCCCGCTCCGGGTCAGCCTCCAGGTGGGTCATTCGTGCCCCCCCTTCCCCTCTGGCCTTGCGTCCCAAGGCCGAGCCGGGTCCCGCCAGCCGCCAGCGCCTCCTGTACCCGCTCGGCCTGGTCTGGGCCCCCAGCTTGACCCCTCAAACCCAGGCGCTGCCCAGCTGCGTCCACCGCAAGGGGTCCCGAAGCCTCCGCCTCTGGACGG